TCAAAATTAGAATCGTACCTTTTCGATGTTTTTAACAGATTGGCTCATCATGAGACTACTTTCTTTGAGTTGTTTTGCCAACATCACCATTTCATCTGTCAAGTCATCTTGAACTCTTTCGAGTAAAAGTTTCAACAAAAAAGTACAAGAATTAAGAGAATAATGGAAAAACAATTAATATAATTAATAATCGAGCAAACACAAATGACAACAACAACTATATCAGATCTGCATATTTTCTCAATACCTATTTTTTTTCCATACCCATTTTTTCCAGATCTGCATAACACTTTTTCTAAGATTGTGATTATGGAGAAGATTTATTTCATAAATTAACTGCAAAACGTGAAAATAAAACTTCAAAAATCAAAACCCTAAAAGAAAAAACTCATATCTGAAAGGAAAGCTACAAATCGAACAAAAATTCAGATTTGGATTTAGACGAAGTAGAAAAAAGAGCAAGATCTCTTCATCATCACTCAGTATCAACAAAAAAACCCCAAATATGAAGAATAAGAACATATCTGAAACGAAAATCATTGTTGCAGTGGAAATATGATATCAAACTATTAATTAGCTTGAATCACATTTTTAATTCACAACCGATCTTTGATTTATCCGAAGGAAAAGGTCAAAAGAAGGAAAATCTAATTTTTACATCATAAACACAATGCGGGGAGAGCTCTAGGTAAGGGGTTGGTTAAGCTTAGGGAAGGTAATAGCACCCTAAACTTCTGTAGTACTCTATAGGAACCTTTTGTTTATAATTTACAATTTTCTTTATTATTTGCTTTACGTATATATTGCTAAGGATTAAGAGTGACTGAAAGACCTAAGGTTTAGTCCTAAGTTTACTCGGCAAGATTCGCATCTTGTGCCTACGTATCCTAGGTAGGGAATGGAATCAGAGTAATCGTAGTTCCCCTTGAAAGGGAGGTTAGAAACGTCTTGACTCTGGTCAAGTTTTCATTGGGGAATAAGCGTTTACGTGGAGTGCGGCAACCCCTATTTCAAAATTGTAAAGAGTTGAAATTATGATTGAAATTAGGGATTTCACGGCGGGACACCCTAAATAGAGTACGACGACTCTTTGACCTAATGTTAGGGTAAAGGGTATTTTCGTCCACGACGGGACACCTAGGCTAATTAGGGTTTGAAATGTTCAAAAGAGAGGACTATTGACTCGGCGGTCAAACGGCTAGACCTAATCCTTCGGAGGGCTGTAACGGTAAATGATGCAAATGACGAAGAATTATCATATGGCAGAGTTAAAGTACGAAAATAAGGAAAGCGGTAAAGCAAAAAGCATCACGACGATCACTCGCGTAAATTCCAAATCCCAAAAATGCAAGAATAAATAACTGCGACAATGACCTTGTTAGAACACGGATTGGTTCTTAATAATAACTCTTTGTTTTGATGATAACTGTTAGGAAATTTTATATTTAAGAATTATATACTCTAAAATTTGCTTGTAAGTTTTACTGCAGATTAAAATGAAATTAACTCTCTAGAAGCAAATCTGGATAGTATACAAGAAGTTATCTAGACTCTGAAGCGCCAGATGCACTCATTAGAAGATTCTGATTGCTGTTTACAGAAGATCCTAAGCGTAGTCTCCAGAAGGATCTGAAGCAAAAAGCTCTAGAAGATTCTGAAGCTAGTCAGAAGCATCTGAAGCAAGAAGCTCCAGAAGATTCTGAAGCTAGTCAGAAGCATCTGAAGCAAAGAAGAATATTGTATGAAGAGTTTCTCAAAGCATAGTTCCTACAGAAGTTTCTGAAAGTACTAACGCTGTCAAGTACTGAAGTTCAGTGTCAAATATGCTCTGATGATTAACACGCTGAAAGCACACATGCTGCAGAAGACTCTGATACAACAAGGTTCTGAACTTCATTAGAAGACTCTGACTCAATCAGATTCTGAAGAACTTGCTGAAAACTGAAGAAGAAATATTCAAAGATTATATCCGTTGGAGTAAATCAAACGTATCTTTCCTCATTTGTGCTAGACACAAGAACACGGACAAAAAGGATTGTTCTGTGCTTTCTACTTCTAGGAAAGGTCACTTGATGTGAAGACAAAAAGGCTCAGACCTTTTGGGGACTCTCTTTTCAACGCTCAGCATCCTTGGATCAGCTGCCTATAAAAGGAAGATTCCACCAAATTCTTCAGTGACACAATTTGCTGAAAAGAAATCATAATATTCAAAGCTCTCATTCTTTCATATTCTTCTTAGAATTTCTTGTACTTAAACTTAAGAGAAAAATCACTGTTGTGATAAAAGCTTTATAGAAGCATTAATACTCTTGTATTTGATTTACATTGATTGTAAAGGTTTTCCTTAAGAGGATTCAGTTGGAATCAGTAGCTCTTGAGAAGACTAAGAACAGTTGTTCTTAGGTGTTACTATTGTAATCTGTTTGATTAAATAGTGGATTTAGTCCTTGTTGAGAAAGGCAAATCACTCTAGGAAGGGTGGACTGGAGTAGTTGATTTCAACGAACCAGGATAAAAATAATTGTGTTATTATTTTTAAGTCTTAATCTTTCATACTTATTCAACCCCCCCCCCCCCCTTCTAAGTATTATCTCACCTTCAGTTGGCATCAGAGCTCCGGTTCTGTGTGTGCTACCACTTAACAGTGTCAGTAAAGATCCATAGAGAAATACTTTGATATATATTTATTTGTTACAATGGCTGATAATTCAATATCCAATATTAACAATAAATATGAAGAAAGGGACAGGATCAGCACCAAACCCCCTATGTTTGATGGGGAGAAATTTGACTACTGGAAAGACAGAATTGAGAGTTTTTTCCTAGGATATGATGCTGATCTATGGGATCTAGTCATAGATGGATATGTCCATCCCACAGATGCGAATGGCAAGAAGATTGACAGAAAATCTATGACAGATGCTCAGAAGAAAGATTTTAGAAATCATCACAAAGCCAGGACTATATTATTGAATGCAATTTCACATACTGAGTATGAAAAAATTACAAACAGGGAAACTGCTTTTGATATGTTTGAATCCCTAAAAATGACTCATGAGGGAAATTCTCAAGTTAAGGAGACAAAAGCTCTGGCTCTGATCCAGAAGTATGAGGCCTTCAAAATGGAAGACTCTGAATCTGTTGAAGCCATGTTCTCCAGATTTCAGATACTCACAGCTGGGCTGAAAGTTCTGGATAAGGGATACTCTACATCAGATCATGTAAAGAAAATCATCAGAAGTCTGCCTACCAGATGGAGACCAATGGTGACTGCCTTGAAGATGGCTAAAGATCTGAATAAGATCTCTCTAGAAGAACTCATCAGCTCACTGAGAAGCCATGAGATTGAGCTTGAGGAAGATGAACCTCAGAAGAAAGAAAAAGGTAAATTTGTTGCATTAAAATCTAACAAAACTGCTAAAGCTTTGCAGGTCATTCAAGAAAGCTCTGAAGAATCTTCTTCTGAAGAAGAAGATGAGTTATCCATGCTGTCCAGAAGGATCAACAGACTCTGGAAGCACAAGGGAAAGAAGTTCAACAACTTCAGAAGATCTGATAATAGAAAGGAATCTTCTGGACACAGAAGATCTGGCAAGAAAGAAGTTGTGTGCTATGAGTGCAAAGAACCTGGGCACTACAAGAATGATTGCCCCAAACTTCAGAAAGAAAAACCCAAGAAGAAGTTTAACAAAAAGAAGAAGGTTCTGATGGCAACATGGGATGACTCAGATGAATCTGAATCATCTTCTGAATCAGAAGAAGAATGTGCCAATGTTGCACTGATGGCCATCACAGAGGATCAAGAGGAAGGTACCTCAGGATATGAATCAGATTCTGAATCTGATGATGACGCAGAAGAGGTAATGGCTAAACTTACCAAAGAAGAACTTATAAAAGTTTTAACAGAAGTTCTTAAAAGTTATAACAATATCAAACTCAAATACAAGAAGCTGAAAAGCAATCTTGAATCTGAGATTGATCTTCTGAAGACAGAACTTGTTGAGCAAAAAGAAATTAATCTGAAAATCAAAAATGACTTTGAAATAACTCAACAAGAATCTGAATCTGAGACTAAGTCATGTGAAAAAATTTTAGAAAAATATGACTCTAGCTTTCAGAGATTTCTTACTAAGAGCATAGATAGAAGCAAGATGGCTTCCATGATCTATGGTGTTAGTGGAAACAACAGAAGAGGTATTGGATATGAATCTTCATCTGAAAGCAATCCAAAACCTGTTGACAAACTTTTCATCAAGAAGACACCTCTGTATTCTCAATTTAAATTTGGTCACTTAAATGACATTAAACACACAAGCTCTGAGAAGAATACTTATGTGTTTAAACCCAAGGCAAGTCAGAATAAACATTATGTTGAATAACAAAAGTTTAGACAAACCTACAAACCAACTAACCCCAAAGGACCCAAGAAGATCTGGGTACCTAAAAACAAAATAATTCCTGTTGCAGATGTTCTTAGCAGCAAGGTCAGGACACCAATCATGCACTAGTGGAAAAAAGGCTTTTTAAGTCGGTTAAAATTGACTTTTTAAGTCGGGTTCGAGCCCGACCTAAGAATTACCGACATAAGAAGTTTTGACTTCTTAAGTCGGTTGTGGACCTGACTTAACAAACTGTTGTTAGGTCGGTTAGGCAAAACCCGACTTAATAAGTCTAGCCTGCAGAAACCATTTATACCCGACATAAGAACTTACTTTCTTAAATCGGGTATAACTAACCGACCTAAGAAGTTTTTTTTTTTTTTGGATAATCACAAATCAGATGCAGTTTTCCCATTTAATAATTTACCTCCAAATCAGACTATCCAACTCAATCAACAAATTACACCAAAAAAAATCACACAACACATATCACAGTAAAACCCCTAATTATCAAATAAAATATACCAGCAACTTATAAACACAATTAAAATCCACAATTTCATATCTTGTATTATAAGTATGCTCTAAAGAGTTTTGAATATGTTCAGGGAATAATTATACTTACAACACAATCAAGTGTGTCTTCACTTCAGCCACCAACATGTGACCCAACAACAGAATGCGAAGAAGTGAATGGTGCAAAAGCATTGATCCTATTTGCTGGACTATATCTTTCTTTCTATTCCTATTTTCTTGGCTGGTTCTACTAGATACAAGAACAAGATCCCTACTGGAAGCCCTCTTACAACCATTTATATTCCTCTTACATACATTAATATTTTCTTGCAGCTCAGCATTGACCTCTGGAACTGCGATTCCCCTCCCACTTCGATCACGCGGACGCGACTTCTTACTGCCAGCAGCATTACCTTTTCCAATGGCCCTTAATTTGAAGTTATAAAACATTGAAATTAAAATGATGAAAGCGATTGTTAGAGAAATTTTGGCTAGACTCTGAATGCATATTAAGCGGCTCGTTCACCTTCTAGCTTCTTCATCCCTTAGCTTTGTTTCCATCTCCTTACGGAATTGTTTCTACTTCTCTTCTTTGCTTCTAACAATGTTGGTGTACTTGTACTAAACGGAGTTTTCAGACCCTTCATAGGGGCGACGTCCTTAACTACAACTTCTGAACCAACAGTGTGTATTTCACCACCTTCATCTTTGCTTACCATGTGTTTCTCTAATTTTAAAGATTTGTGTACAATTGGTTTTGCAGCAGGCATTGATTCTAATGATGGTTTATCTTTTGTCGGGCATATTTTTTTCAAATGTCCCTTAGTGGTACCTCTCTTGATATTCTGATGTGAACAGAAATGGCACTTGTACACGACATTGTTTTGGGCGATGTTGCTAAACTTCTTTTGCCTGTGTCTGACCTTTGATCTATTCTTCTCAATTCGTACAGTTGAATTAAATTCGGGATGAAGAACAGTTTCGCACCTGCAGAGAAACCAAACAATGATTAACATGTTTTATGAATCATAGGAAAACTCCAAATATCAAAAGCTTAAGGAGAACCTAAGAATAATATATGATTTAATATTCAAACAAATAAAAAAATGTTAGTAAATGAATTAAGACATTTTAAATCTACTGGAATTGTCCATGGTTATCAAATTGAGATTTATACCATAAATCAAAAGATGTATTTTCCAAATTGAAATGAAATACAATAAGATCTATGACACATAAAAACCTAATAAAACCACCTAGTAGGCTACATGAACTACTGTGTCATAAATAAATTCTACTGATAAACATTTCAATCAAAATATCTGTTAATGGTTTGATCTATAATTTTCCTTGGTATCCATTTGACCGTAACTATTAGTGCTTCTACCGCTGCATGCAAAAACCACCTAAAAGTAAAACAACACTAATCATATTTCTACCATGAAAGCTATATCCCAACCATATTTCTACCATGAAATCTATATCCCAACTTTCTCACTAATGATTTCATATCTAATTATATCTTTGTACACACTAATCCTTGCATGAGTAGTACATAAGCTGAAACTGCTTTTATCAAGTTCATGTGTTTGCATTCTAATTATATATTAGATAAAATTCATGATGAGGAGTATAGGTGATCCATACAAACATGACATTTTGAAGTAAAAATATGTAACATGTGCAAAAACATAAGTTAATATATCTTATACAATTTACAAATGTCAAGTTGGTAGGGTAATAAAAGCTAGCTAATCAAAGAGAACACTTGTTCTTACTGACAAATGCTAACAGATTCACAGTTCATGCAAATTTCGGACATCGTGATAAGCAAACGTATTGTGTGCCTTATCTCAAAACCCATCCAATACGATTGCAAATGCATCATATGTAAGTGTCTACACATATACATTGGACATTGTTCCATCCAATAATCATAACCTACAATTGTCAATAAGAATGTGAACAGTTGTCAATTTCTTCATTAAACATATTTTGTTATTAAATTAAACATTTTAATTAAGAATACAGAACAATTGGACTGTGGTATGCCCTGGATATCATACGGCACCAGCTTTTATAGAAGGAAATTCTAAATATATGCCTTAAATCTTATGTTAATAGAGAAAAAAGTTTAGATTTTCATGAAGAATCCAGAAAAAATGACCAGTGAAAGTGCATGGGCGGCAACCAAGTTCATCCAGAACACTACAAATTTTTCATTTTCACTCATTACCAGTCCTTCAAAAATGGTGGATAATAAAAATACAGAATCTAATGCACTTTATGCAACCAATATTTAGAATTTCTATGCATTTGTCTGAATAGATACAAGTTACATCAATGCATGTCAACATTCAACAATCAATTGATATTTGTGTTTTATGTTTGCACCACATACATTTTCCAATTCCGGTATAAAAACTCACTTATTGTAGTGTATGTTGAGACAGATCAGTAGTTGCAATCATCACACCAGCAGCAAAGGAACCTAGCTCTAGACTTAATCTCAACTTATCACTACACTGAAAATATACAAATGCAATTAGTTAAAAAAGTAGTGATTGACAAGTAACAGTAAAGTAATCAAGCAGCAGAACAAACATATACTATTTGGAGACAATTATGAGATACATAGATGTGTAACTCACGCCAAAAAAATGGTGCAAAAGGCATTTTAAACATAAAAATAGAAAAACAAAGCACGACAAGCTTGCACATACAAAAGGAGAATGTAAGTTACAGCTGAGACCCTTTGAAAATAAGGTGAAGTACTGCAAAGGAACAATATATGCACATCTTTTCTGCTTTGTAAGAACATATGAAAAGTAAAGCATTACAAAGAGAACTACAGAAATTCAGGCATGTGAAAAATAAGGAAGAGGACAAACCCAGGCTACAAGCAAGCAAATTGCAACAGCCGCCAGCATATAAAGTTCATTTGTCTGCACAGACATGGTTTTTATTCAACCAAAAGAACAATGACAAAAATGAATTGCCTTAAGATTAAAACAACTAAAGAACCAATCTATAAATTTCCAATAAAAATAAATTCTTCCATGGGTGTGATTTCTCATTAAAGAGGGATAATGATACTAACCTGTGATGATAGGCTTATCATCAATTTAAGAAACCACGAAAGGCAAGTGCGAGACAATATTGAAAGAATGGAGAGAAATGCAATCAATGTCACCAACCTGGATTAGGAAAGGAGTGTCAGTATTAACAATCATATTTCATATTAGATAAAAACTCTATAGTATATGGCTATATGCTCAGTAAAATCCAAATGAACGCAAAATGGATGAGAGGTGCATTTGAGTATCAATTAAGTAGAAATACATAAATTCAATAACTATACTTTTAAGTTTTAAACATATAAATTAAGTATAACTTTTATGAAAAACTTATTAATAATCCCATTTTTTAACAAAAAATGCATGACAAGTAAATCATCTCCTGGAAAAATGGGTGAAAAACATAAATATAAATGAGATTCTATCCTCAGATCAATGCATTTGAGGTATATAATATGATTAATATTCCGCCTGAAGCCTCCTCGACCACAGTTTGATTATATTTTATCTTTTATGTAGCCGCTTAACTAAGTTGTTGATCCAAACAGGGTCTAAATGTTGTTTCTAACAACATAAGAATCAAGAACCGAGCATATGAGAGAGATATAGAAAAACAACCTCTGTAATACAAAAACTACAGCGAAAAATCTAAGAACACAAAACCAAACCTTAAGTTACATACAATGTGATAATACCAAACCAAAAACTACAAAATTGGTGAAACAGAAAATGGTCAAAAGAAAACGGAACGGGGAAGACAAAACCAATCCTCTAGCTTTTGATTACCACCATTAAAAACAAATGAGTATTTCTTTACAAATTTCTCAGTGAGTGTGTCTGAAACAAGAACAATAGTATCACCAAAATAAATAAATCTCTTCTTAAATATAATAATAAATCTAAAATTTAAATCAATTCCATCTTCAATTTCACAACAACATTTCATCAATACTCCATCAAACATTCAAAGAAACTGAACCACCATACATGCATAATCATGAAAACATACCTAATTTGCAGAGTTCAAAGTGAAACGTTGTAGCGGTAATTGGAGAGAAAACGAAAGTTATGGTGAAAGATTGAGAGAATGATGAAACCTAAATCTGAAATTATAGTATATAAGAAGTTAGCAAAATAGAAGAATATAGCAGTAGATAACACTAATAGTGGAGTCGCCGTTGGATACAAACGACTTCATCTTCGAAACGAAATCCTCAGAGTCTGGAAATAGAAAGGGGGTGCCATGTTCAACCACAACTGCAGCGTCTCTCATAAAAAGCAACCTAATGAAACCAATTTCAATTCAATGAGAAAAAGAACAAAATCAGTCAGCAGAGGGATGAAATTGGAAGCACAAACCTGAGAAGGTTGGGTCAATCTCGAGCGAAAGCCAAGCAGGAACTGACCTCAGCCTGCGATAATTCGGCAGGGGAAGAAATGAATCGGCGGGAGGAATAGTAGATGTGTAGCCAGCGGAGGAGATGTGTGCGAGAAACCCATATCAATACATTTTCCATTGACCATCAATTTAGGGTTTATGATTATAGTTGGGGTGAGGTTATCTGTTGGATTTCTCATATAACATAAATTATACTATAATTGTTTTATTTTACTAAAATGTATTAAGTAGGAATCGAACCGGAGTCTTGTAAGACCCTCTTAGGTCAGGTAATAAACACCTGACTTAATAAATAAATTTCTTAAGTCAGCTCAGTAAAAGAACTGACTTAAGAAATTTAATAAAAATTATATTTTTTTATTTAATCTTTGTAGGTCGGTTAAACATATACCCGACATAACAAAGTTTCAAATATTTACAGATTTGCCACCGTGTGGTTTCTTAAGTCGGGTTATTGATGAACTGACTTAAAAACCTCTGCTAAGAAGGTATTTTTCCACTAGTGATGGTACCTGGACTCTGGATGCTCACGACACATGACAGGAGAAAAGTCTATGTTCCAAAGCCTGGAACTTAGATCTGGAGGTGACGTGAAGTTTGGAGGGAACCAGAAGGGCAAGATCATTGGATCTGGCACTATTGGAAATGGTAAACTTCCCTCTATTACTAATGTTTTACTTGTTGAAGGGTTAAAGCATAACTTATTGTCCATAAGTCAATTAAGTGACAATGGTTATGATATTACCTTTAATCAAAAATGTTGTAAAGCTATTAGTCAAAAGGATGGCTCTATCCTATTTAGTGGTAAGAGAAAAAACAACATTTATAAAATAAATCTTTCAGAACTTAAAGTTCAAAATGTTAAATGCCTATTGTCTGTTAATGAAGAGCAATGGGTTTGGCACAGAAGATTGGGCCATATTAACATGAGATGTATATCTCAGATTAATAAACTTAATCTTGTCAGAGGACTCCCTAATCTGAAGTTCACTTCAGATGCTCTTTGTGAAGCATGCCAGAAAGGGAAGTTTTCAAAAACATCTTTCAAATCAAAAAATGTTGTTTCTACTTCTAAACCACTAGAA